TCAGTACAACACTGTGAGTTGACGCTTTTTTCCTTTGACGACACACACACACACTTGGTTGGGTTTAGGAAAAAAGAACAGGGTTAGACTTAACAATCTTACAGGAAGTGAACACCGGCCTCCTGGGTGAAAGTCGTTGGTTGCTGGACCCATTCTCCATCCCTCACGCCTGCCCCACTTGGGGTCCGTCCCAAGACTCTTAAATTACTGCTAGTTTTCTTACCTAGCTGACTTTGCTAGCTGTTTAGCCCCTCCCACCTAGGAAAAAACGCGAGGAGCTAGCGCTAGGAGCGATGAGCGAGCATTGTCGGTTTAAGACACATGAGACGTCCTTTCCACTGAAGCGTCACGTGAAGCGACATCCATTCCTGATGACGGCGGCACCGCTGGATCTGCTCCGTAAAGCAACCAGCATCTGGCGTTACTATGGGTACATCCCAAGTCTCATTATATTTGCTGACCAAAACAGTAGCCCCCCCCCACCCCCCGCCGTCATGACTCTGGTCACACACTTTTGCATGAATTACCATTGTTATTGAGTCATTTCTCAAAGTTTGTGCAATTAGAGAACGGTCTGTAGCCCTGCTATTCCACTGTCACTGTGATGAGCACTATCATTCAATTAACTCACCATCATTCAACATAGTCAGCGATTCATTGCAAAGAATGCATGTAACGGGTACTTACTCTTGTACTGTTTCTCTGCCATCTCGTTCAAATATGCCAGATGTAGGGGGCGGGTATTTATACGTCATGGCGTTCAGCTGTAAAATTGTTCTGGATAGAAAGCTCTCGACCGTCCTAGCTCGTAGCTGCTTAAAGCTTGCTGCTAGCTCCTAGCACTAGCTCCTCGCTGCACAAATAAGAGACTTGGGACGGCCTAGAAGATGGCGGACCTTGAAGCAGTAGCAGTATAAAAATAAGAGACTTGGGATGGACCCTTGGACTTTTGCCGCCTTAACTTGCATTGGTGTTCTACTGTGTTTCCCCCTGACGCCACCGGGTGCCGTTCACAATACCAGCGACTGGCTGCGTATCATGCCGACATGAGACAGCTTTTTTTGTTGATGCCTGACACCGGAAGCCACAGACTAAGCGCCAGTATTTGACGAGCCAACAGAAAATAAAATTAAAGCCGAAACATTTACATCACAAAACGTTAAAATGTCGCCACCTTTAAACAGACAGCACTTTGAAATGTGGAGCTGAAACTCACTCAGTGGGTGTCAGAGTTTTGGAAGCAACATTAACTGAAGCAGCAACACAAGATGTCAGAGTATGTTTTATATATTGGCTGATGTCACCCAGGAAGAGCCAATCACTCACCACCTCCGTCTGTCAGGCTCCTGTCTGCACACACACCTGACTCTCATCAGTCAGTAATCAGACACACACACACACTGAGGCAACACAGTGAACAGTTGAAGGTGAGCAGATGTCCATCATCCTTCCTTCACTCAGCTGGAGTCACATTAAACACAGAGTTTCAGTCAGACAGTAGAAACTGTGACTTATCTTCACATCACAGCCTCATCATGAACAAACTGTGTCCTCGGTGCCTTTTCTCTGGACTGAGCACTGAAGCCAAGCATGACAGTGACCTTATACTGGGAACCAGACTGGTGCTAATGAGCTCTGGTTTCCACCAGTAGCCTCATTTCCACTGCTGGAACTTAACAAGCACTAACCTGCAGCTCCTCATCATGTGAAGCTTAAAAGAGCTGTGAGCTTCCTCCTCCTGTTTCCACTCAACTCTCCTCCAGGTTATTTTCTGTCACGCTGAGCTTGTGTGAATCTCGGCTCCCTGCTGAGGCGGCTCGTACTGGTCAGTAGGTTAAACTGCCGCCAGGGCAACACGTCGCTGTTTGCTCTGTTGTGTTAAAGTGAAGGGTTTCCTTCTCTGTGCGACTGCAGCAGTAACATGGAACCTGTCATGGTTGTTGTGATGTCACGTCTGCAAAACGCTGGATCAGATTAAATGATAACATTTTAAAAAGGATGCAACAGCGTGATGTGGTAGAGGCACAGAAGGAGAAAGTCACTGTTCGTTGTACAGTCAGTGATGGTTTCTTTTAACCATTGTTCCCGTACAGTAAGACTGGGGTAGGCAGAATTTGAAAATACACCCTCCTCCTGCAGCTCTCCCCTCTCTGTCCTAAGCCCCTCCCACCAGACGACCACGGTAATGTGCAGGCGTCACACAGTAGCTCGGTGTTTCCCATGCACTGCTTTATTTCACTCTCGAGGTCTCTCTCTGTTTATCAGACCACAAATGAGACAAGAATTAGCTGCTAGCTATGCTCTGGTGCCTCCGCCTTGTTCCCCACCACTGTGGACTGTTTCCCCGGGAGGAGAGTGGGCGGCAGCAACAGAAAGTTTGCTGATCTGGCGAGGAGTCGGGGCTGTCCGGCCCCTGGAGCTGGGGTGCACTTGAGGTGCTGCCCGCTCTCTTCTTGGCGAGGTGGTCTGAAGCGGCGGGGAGTGAGGCGGAGGACTCACTGTGATTTTAAGGCTCTTGCTAACATTGGCTACATCATCATGAGCCTTTAGCTCTGGGGCGCAGAAGGCTAAAATATTACCAAAGTTTTCTCTCCATCTCTGAAACACATTGCTGATATTGAGACGTTTTATTCAGTTTATTTTCAGACTGAGACTCTGTTTTTGATAAGTCAGTCTTCCTTCGTTGAGTTGGATTGAATCAGGCTTTCACCATCTGAAGGGCCGTGCATTTGCAGAACACCGAATAGAGTGTGCCAGGGCTGATGTCAAAACTCGGAAGTTTAGCATCGCGCTGGTTCCTGGAAGAGAAAGTGAATGTGATTTTTGCATTGCGTTTTGGATTATGTCAGAAAATAAGCTCTGTGGCTAACACAAGTTTATGATACTTTTTGTTTTGTTCAGCGAGATAATCTTCACATATGAGCACCTTTCATACCGCATTTGAAGCTTAAATGCGATCGCCAGAAGTAAAAAGCTAACGTTAGGCTTTAACGGACTACAAGACTACTCCACGGTCGCATGACTCTTGACGTCACCGCCACTAAGCTTTCAACTGATTTCAGCTGCTTTATTTTAAAAACATTGTATAATGGGGAAATCTGACTGTTTAAGCTAAATAAGAAGCTGTAATGGCGGACTGCCAGCACTCTCGCCTGTTCGGGGGTGATGACATTTAATGTCCCCGACAGGGCTTGTAGTCGTATTGAGCAACTTGTTAGCAACCTCCTTTTTTACGACACATAAAAGCTTCAAAATTCACAAGTAGGGTATTTACTGACATGTTTTATGTTGTAGAACAAAACCTGAAACTCACTTAAGCTTTTGTTAACCACAGACCTTATTTGAGGCATTTTACCAAAATCCCATTCAAAAAACGTACTGACTTTTAGACGAGAGAACCGGAAGTGCTAAAAGCGCTAACGGAGTTCCGGATTTACTGGCACACTCTATAGGGATGTCCTCTCTGTGAAACGTCCCGTGATTCAACCCAGTCTCACTCTGACGTACTGGCACTAACTCCCAGGGATACTGAGCTGTCCTGAGCAGCACCAGAGTTTAGTCTCAGTAACTCGTCCCCAAAGTGACGGAGAGCTGTGGAACTGAAAGCAGAACCTGTGAGAATGGACACATGTTGTTCAGTGACAGACAGACAGGAGGATTATGGACCACGTTATCTCTCACCAGTCTTCAGACGAGCTGCAGAACTTTTTGGGGCGTCGGCCTCTAAAATCCCCCCGAGGCTGTTCTGTGAAAGACAGGTGGTTTTCAGGTCTTTGAGTCTCAGAAGACAAACTTCAGCAGCTGCGTTGAGCAACAGCAACGATGTGTTGAGATAAAACACAGTTTGTTATTCTTCACCAAACACATGGAAATTTATCCGCCAGATATAATAAACATGGAAACATGGACGGTGATTTCTCCCACTGAGCTCGTCTTCACAGGCTGATACAGACACTGGGGTTTAAAACAAGATCAATAACCTTTAAATTCTGCTATTTTTTACCAACGTTTTCGGTTTTATTTATTTATCTATTTAAAATAAGTTTACAATGACCTAGGATTGATAACTGTGATGTGTGTGTGTGTTTGGACTGTAAACGTGCATGTATATGTGGGAAGGCAGATTTTACATTTATTACATTACAGACGCAGAAGTTGTTGCAGCTCTACACGTTCCAGGATGAATGAATGTAATCGATAACAACATGTGATATTAACAGCAGGACGATGTGTCGAAGCCAAACTGAGCGTTTCCGTGTGCTGAGTTGTGATCTGTAAATGAACTTGAACCATTAAAAGCTTCCACACTGATGACGACTCGTCTCATAAACAGCTCAAGTGTCTCCTAACATTATCATCACCTGATGGAGCTATCTGATTGGCTCTCTGGGGATTAGCGTCCGAGCTGAAGGCGTAAACACACACACACACACACACTCAGAGACATATTTTTCATTCAGAACACACACCCTGATCAACATGATTCATACTTACAAAACTTTGTCACCCCAGTAACGGCAGCTGTTTATGAGATAAATGTCTTAAACGGTGGTTTGTATCAGTGTGAGCGTGTTAGCATTAGAATTTAGCTTAATGTTCAGTGTTTTCTGATCTGTAGGATGTTTCTGTGTCTGCCCCCACTCTGGACATGTGGGGCAGTTTGAGGGTTGTTGTTGTTGTTTGTGTTGATTTTGTTGGAAAACAACATTCATTTTTTGCAGAAATGATCAGCTTGGATGTCAAAGTGCAACTCTTTGCCTCAGACTGGTCGAGGAACCTGACAGATGTTAAACAGCTGAGCCTTTAAGGTTTCCCGGTGGTCACGTGTGTGTCAGTGTGTGTATTTAGGAATCAGTGTTTGTCCTGGTGATGCTCTTTAGTGTCAACAAGCTAAATCACACACTCGTCTCAATATGAAAAGTATGTCGACGGCTGCTGTGAAAACCAACGTTCACATTGTTCTGTGTTTTACTGACCGATGTCCCTCTGTGTTCCTGCAGGGAGTCCTGTACAGGCGGAGGAGGAGGAGGAGGAGGAGGAAAGTGGAGGCTCCGTCATGTTGTCCCAGTCGTGCTGCTGTGGATGAGTCTGCACAGACACGGTAGGATCCAGCTCGCTCTTTGCTTCTCATCAGAACAGGAAGTGTCAGGATGGATGGATTCAGTCTTTAACTGATCGGACTGAAGGAGTTAAATTAAAAACAAGTTGCCCTCACAGCTGTGAAACTCAGAAACTTTTCTCTCCCCTGACCTAAATTAAATCTGCATCACACCGACATCTTATGCGTCAGCTTTTACACACATGAAGAGCCTCGAACACAGAACTTCAGCTGGAACCAAACTCTGATCGTGTTTAAGTTTAGCGCATGTTAAGGGTACGCCAGCGTTTCACGTTGCTAATATTACAGCTCGTTCTGCAGCTTTGAGCTGACGTGTCTCAGCTGAACACTTGAAGTGACCCTCAGGAGACATAAATGAAAAGTTCTGGAAACATTCACCAGTTGGTCTGCAGTCGCTTCCTCCTCAGCCTCTTTCTAAAACACACCAACAACTGGAAATCTACGGTGGCTGAGATGTTTCAAACAAATTGCGGATCAAGGAAGCTTTGCAAATTCAAAAAACACCAGCACGTTAACAGACAACACAAATGCAGAAGTCACAACGTAAGAGAGTGTCGACTGATGTTGACAGTGCGACAGGCCAACCAGTTTTAAATTAATATGATTCCTCTTTGTGTACTCACAGCAGGCTGTTATGAAGCCAGCTATGCATCACATCATTTAGCCAACAGTCGGTCAGATGAGTGTAACCTGAGCTGCAGCTGTGTGTGAACACACTGATCCTTTTTCATAAATATAAAAAATATAAAGACATTGACGAACAATCACACTGTGATAAAAATCATCTTCTCAAACAAACTCTGGTCTCCACATGTGTAGGTGATAATAATCAACTTTTATATTTGTGTTATTTCCATCTGTCCCATTCTTGTGAACATGATATCTCAAGAGCAGGGCAGCGGTTAGTGTCGTCGCATGTTCTCCCCGTGTCAGCGTGGGTTTTCTCCGGGTGCTCCGACATGTTCTCTTTGTGTCAGTGTGGGTTTCCTCCAGGTGCTCCGACATGTTCTCCCCGTGTCAGCGTGGGTTTCCTCCAGGTGCTCCGACATGTTCTCCCCGTGTCAGCGTGGGTTTCCTCCAGGTGCTCCGACACGTTCTCTTTGTGTCAGTGTGGGTTTCCTCCAGGTGCTCTGACATGTTCTCCCTGTGTCAGCGTGGGTTTCCTCCAGGTGCTCCGACATGTTCTCCCCGTGTC